GGAAAGGAAGGAAGGAAGGAAGGAAGGGGACTCGCTCAGCCCCGGGACCCTTTCAACAACCTCCCCCCCCCAAAAAAAAAGAGAAGGGGCCTCTGGGCAAGCTCCGCTCCGGGGCCAGCAAGGTGGGGGGGCTGCAGGAGGTCAAGAGCCGAGCCCTTTGGGGCTCCTCTCCAGGTCAGGTCAGGAAGGACGGCCTTGTCGCCAAGGAAGGAAGGAAGGAAGGAAGGGGACTCGCTCAGCCCCGGGACCCTTTCAACAACCTCCCCCCCCCAAAAAAAAAGAGAAGGGGCCTCTGGGCAAGCTCCGCTCCGGGGCCAGCAAGGTGGGGGGGCTGCAGGAGGTCAAGAGCCGAGCCCTTTGGGGCTCCTCTCCAGGTCAGGTCAGGAAGGACGGCCTTGTCGCCCCCCCCAAAAAAATAACTGGGTCAGGCTGGCCCCCCAGGTCCGCCCCTGGGGCCCTCCAGCAACGCTTTGGACTACAGCCCCCATGGTCCTTGGTCCCCTGGCTGGGGGGACTCAGGCAGACCACAACTGCCGACCCCCAGCTGCCGGAGGGCCACACAGGGGCCCTTGCTTGGGTATGGCCAGTCGCTGTGCGTGGCTTTGGGGCGAGTGTCGTCCTGCTGGGGGGGGAAAGAAGGCCGTGAGGACTCAGGCAGACCACAACTGCCGACCCCCAGCTGCCGGAGGGCCACACAGGGGCCCCCGCTTGGGTATGGCCAGTCGCCGTGCGTGGCTTCGGGGCGAGTGTCGTCCTGCTGGGGGAGGGGAAGAAGGCCGTGGTGGACGGTCTCTGTCTTTGCTCAACGGGGTGGACCACCCGTCGGTCAAAAATCTGGACATGGGCAGAGAGGCCGGCCTGCCAGGAAGCTCCCATAACTGACGGACCGGACCGATGCTTGTCTTCCGATGGTGTGTGGGTGTGTGTGTGTGTGAGTGTGAGTGAGTGAGAGAGAGAGAGAGAGGGGTGTCTGTGTGTCTGTGTCTGTGTGTGTGTGTGTGTGTGTGTGTGTGTGTGTGTGTGTGTGTGAGAGAGAGAGAGAGAGAGAGAGAGAGAGAGAGAGAGAGAGAGAGAGAATGGAGTCCTGACCAAGGCTGTCCAGAAGGCAGCAAGGGGACACTGGCCGGAGAGGGCTCACCGGCGTTCTGGTCCAATGCTGGAGGTTCAGTGGTTGGTGCAGCCACGTTGTGGAAACGTCGGTGGCCCTTCCCCAAAAGGAGGAAAGCCAGAGGAGGACGGCCAGACCTACGAAGGCTGGGGCCACACCTTCCAAAAAAGAGAGACACCGGTGTGTGTTTTTGTGCGCGTGCGTCAAAGGCGCAGAGGGGGGGCCTCACCCTGGGCCTTCTTTCCTCGACAGGTGAAACTCCCACCCATGATGGAAATCATCACCGCTGAGCAGCTGATGGAATACTTAGGTCAGTGCG